CCCGGAGCTCCCGGGCGCGGGGCCGGCCGCCCGAGCCCTTTGGGGCGCATGCTCCTGAGCGAGCCCGGAGCCGGCGCGCCTGGGGACCTGCCGCCGCAGTGCCGCCCGCCGGCCCTTGACAGGTGTGCCCGCCGCGGGCTTGTTATCGGGTAGACTCCGGGGAGAAACGACCCCGAGTTTGACCGCCCGGGCTCCCTGCAATCGCCCGGTTCACTTTGGAGCTGGGCGCGTGAGGCTGGCCCGGGAAGCAGGGGACCCGGGAGCGAGGCACTAACTTGCTTCGCCCTGTGCACCGCCCTCCACGCTTTCCTTTCCTGGGTGCACACTCGGGAAGAAATGGGATTTTCGGTTTCGCCGGGGAGGCCGCTGTGGGTGGATGACCGAGGCTTCTGGTCGTCCGTGGCAATAAAAAAGTGATTAGCTTTGGGCTGTGGACAGAGCCCTTGTGGAGAGGGTTTCCCCTTCTTAAATGAATCCAATGAGAATGAAAGGGTTTTCCCGTCTTAAGTCCGTATTCCCTTTCTCTCTACTCGTCCCTCTCCTCCGTCCACCCCTTCCTGCACGGCACTTTATTGCATCCCAAACACTTCCCTGATCTTTTTGGTCAGGTTTATTCCGGCCGGACTGCCTTTCACGGCTGAGCCAGGACTGGACTCCGAATGTGAGAACATAGCCCAGGCGGGATGGCAGCACGTCTGCCTGAGCGGACCCATTCCGACGTCCTGTGTGTGCGGTCCTGTGAGCGAACCACATACACTAATGATACGTGAAGAGAGAGAACAAAACAGTTCTAGGATCTATTACACTCACAGAGCCTAAACGGCGATATTACTTTGTGCCGCCACATTTTTCTGCTGGAATCAAAGACAGGTTTTAATAACACAGGGCTATAGCTCCATTCTGGGCTGCAGTTCATCAAAGGATAGGCTAGTGTGCGTGTACAGACTCCATGGTAGCAGTTAATAAATTGACCTACTTAAAGTTTTTTATTTCTAGGAAAAATAGTTAGGCTCACATATGTGATATTTGCAGATGAAAGAATTTTAGTCTCAGCTCTATGCATAAAATCCCAAACTTTTTCTTGTATGTGTGCTAGAGACACTATGTTTCCAAGATTAACTATAGATGTCATCTCTTAATGAACTAGAAATGTGAGTTTAATCTTCAAGGCATTAGCATAGGAATTTTAACAGCGCCTGTCCTTTATGTATACATTAATAAATGTTTTGCAAGCCCCCCAAGTTGGAAGCTCACAAACTGGATGTGATAAACAAAATGGTAAAGAAGCTTTGCTAACAATAATGACTAGCTGATAGCTGTTATGACATTGAGCTAACATATTAAAGTATTTGAAAAATGCATGTTTATTATAATCTGCCATTAACTGAATTCAAACTGTTCATATTATTTAAATTGGCATTAGAAGTCTTTACAGCAATTGCTTAATTCATGTATTTCTCATCAAATGCCTTTTACAAGTTGCTTTGGAAGGGCCACAAAAAATGATTACATTGTGTAATGTTGAATATACTAATTATCTTGATGGGAGCATCACATTATCTCGCACAGGTATTGATATTCAATGCTGTACCCCACAGATATGTACTATCAATTACATTTCAATTAAAGAATTTTTTTTTAAAATTAAAAAAGTTGCTTGGGAGGGAAATAGTTTGCCTTATGGAATAATTTTTTTTTTCCCTTTATGTAGCCTTCGTTACAGAACTACCAGAATCATGTTCACAACGACCTTGCAGGGTTTTTTGTGCTCACTTTTCCTGCTTTGTGATTGTCAAGAGGGAAGGCACTTCTCATTTCACTCTTGTCTGTCCTGCTTTCCCCTGCAACCCACACGTCTGCAGTACAGAGGTCAGATGAGTAGAGCAGTCTGGAGTCATGCGAGAGGAAAAGCTAGCTGGCCCCTGCAGTCTTAGCCATTTGCTTTCACTATACTCTGGCCGTCTGCGATCAGTTTAGTAACCGATTAAGCGCTACAAACACTGACAAGATAATATTTTATTTGTCAGTCTCCTTCCTGAGAAGAATCTACAGCACTCAAAATCAGCACTATGATGGTGATTAGATTCTTGTGAGGCTCAAAGGAAATATGTGCTAACGGTCCCAAAACATGATGCAAAGTCCAAGTGTTGTTGAATCTTAGTCTAAGTTCATGAGAAGGGTAGGACTAGACCCAGGTGTGTAATAAGTATTTTCCTTATCCTAAGGGTAACAACAGAAGTGCATCTCTATTTATTTTAACTACAAACTTTTATTCCTGGAGCTGATGATGCCATGTATCTTCTTTTTTTTTTTTTTTTTGTAAGTTGCTCTAAGTGCTTTCAAACTAGCTCATAAATCATTGGAACTTATAACAAGTTTTTGTTATCACAAATATCATTTCCTGGTATGTTTGGATTTTGAAAGATAACTTGTGGCAATGGAAAGTCCTAATGCAAAGAGATTTTAGGCAGGCCAGTTGGAATGATATTTTGAGATAATAATGGAATCCCTGGCAGTAGCTTTCAAATTCAATCCCACACTATTCTGAGTCAAACAAACTCTGGTAGGAAGAGCTTGGAGCTCTAATGAACAGCCTAAATGAACAGTTTCCCTGTTAGCATCTAAAAATAGCTTTTTCTAGATCAGTGCCATCCAAGAGAACTTTCTACAATAATGGAAATGTTCTCTAATCTGTCCAATATGATAGCCATGAGCCACATGTGGCTATTGAGCATTTGAGATGTTGGCTAGTGCAATTGAGGAACTGATTTTAAAATTTTCTTTAGCTTTAATTAATTTAAATAGCCACACGGGACTAGTGACTACTATATTGCATAGTGTAGCTCTAAATTCTCTCTAACCTTTTCCTAGAGACATGGCACTTAATGGCAATTATCCCTTAATTAGAAGAAAGTGGAAATTGGCATTGATAGTACCAAGAATTAAGATTTGACTCCATAATCCTGTTGTTATGAAAAAGCACTTGTGTTTACTCTGATAAATGTACTATATGTCAAAGTTCAACTCTACTCTAAAAACAGTTTCCCTTTTAAATTTCCAAGTCTGCTAGCCATGAAAATAAACATTACCCAGAGTTGTTCAGACATGTGGCCCCGTGTGTCTGCGTTCATGAACTTGGGCACTATTTGCTCTTTTGCACATTATGGATTATTTATGCTTACAGCTGGTTTCTGCACTTTCCAGTTTTTCAAGTGGAGGGAGATTTGGAGGAAGGTAGGAGGTAGGCAGTGATGCACAACTGTTCTCCCCACCACCCCTACCCCAGCTTACAGTCTCAGAAACCCTGTGAAAAGTCTGAAAAATAGGTACCCCTGGCTCAAGGAGTGGCTGAAACCTTTGCCTCTATTGGGCTCTTCTTGTCTGATTTCTTTGCCTCGGCCTTCAAACCCAGACCCTGTCACTCAGTCCAGCCTGTGGGGACTACCAAACCCCTTAAAAAATACAGTAGTTCACCCTTATCTGCGGGAGGTATGTTCCAAGACCCCCAGTGGGTGCCTGAAACCACGGATAGTACCAAACCCTACATATACTATGTTTTTTCCTGTGCATACATACCTATGAAAAAGTTTAATTTATACATTAGGCACAGTAAAAGATTAGCAACAATAATAGTAAAATAGAACTATAATAACATACTATAATAAAAGTTATGTGAATGTGGTCCTTCTGTCTCTCTCTCTCTCTCAAAATACCTTATTGTACTGTGTACCTCAGTGACTGAAACCACATAAAGTGAGACCGTGGATAAGGGGGGACTCATAGCGTACCATTATTTTTAGTAAAACCATTAAAATGGGATTTGATTTCATATCTACCATGTTGTTTCCATTTTTAAACTAATTTGCTTTTATTAAAGCCATTATTTTGGCCATGGAGAGGGGCACATTTTTAATTGGACTGTTTCATGAGACACCGCCTTCATGTTTCTTAGGTGAGTGACACTTCCTTACCCATCCTACGTACCTAGGAAACCTCTCTCCAGGGCGGAGCTCAGGGTCCTGCGGATTCTCCTCTTCTGGAAGGGACTCTCCCTTAATCAGTTATTTAGGAATGTGTCAAATGTGCTTGTGAGTAATAACTAAAGTATAGGTTAAAATAACCCCCAAATTGTCTCTGCCCTGAAGGTGTTAACACCCTAAGATAACATTTTCAAAATTAGTGTCCATCCCACAAGGTGAT